TAGTATTACAGTGTATTAAATGTTATAGGGATAGTGTGGCGTGGATGCAGGGAAGAGCACTGGCCCTCTAGCACAGTGATTCTCAACTTGGCTGCACATTAGAATCACCTGGGAATCTTTTTCAAATCCTGATTTCTGGGCCTCATCCTTTGGAAATTCTGTTTCTTTGTTACTAATGTTGTGGCCCCACCCCATAACGAAGAAACAGAATTTCCGGAGGATGAGGCCCAGAAATCAGGATTTTAAAAAGATTCCCAGGTGATTCTAATGTGCAGCCAAGGTTGAGAACCACTGCAGCATAATGGCAGAGAAGGGCCTTTTGTCCCCAGGGGATGCTACAGCTATTAGGTGAAAGGTTGTGGGATATTCGTAGGGCATCAACATATAGCCCCACATATCCATTACAGAGGGAAAATGAACAACTTTCCAGTGTAGAGGTCTGTCATTCACTACTTAACCAAGTGATTAAACTTATCATCACTAAGAGCCCATTTACAAGCTTTTCAGTCTCTAAAATGCAGGATGAGATCATAGTTCTTACCTTCCCAGTTCTTCCCTGAAGACAGATTCAGTGCAAATCATGGTCCCTAACACACAAAAAACATTCAGTAACTAAACTTCTCTGGTGGCTATTTGATTTTTCTGTCATAATAGCTAAGAAGAATAAGATTTCAATCAGTGTCTGCCAATAGATGTTGACTTAAACTGAGACAGGACTAAATTTAAAAGATAGGAAGGAACGATTGATTTGAAGCTTTCAAATCCCTAAAGAAAGTAATATGCTTTAGGAAAAATATTTATTTTTTATTGCTTTTAGGAAAAAAAAATTAAAAGTTTGAAACGAGTAATTAACTCAATAAAAATAATTTTATAATAAAGCATAGAAAAGCAATCTATTTGATCATGGGATTCCTAATGTAAATCCCAGCACCACTATCAATTGACCATTTTAAATGTAATTTAGACTTGTATGATATAAACATAGTTTTAAAATGTTTTATTAAATTGTTTCACTACTGCTTGGCCAGCATGGCTCAGTGGTTGAGCATGGACCTATGTACCAGGAAGTCACAGTTTGATTTCTGGTCAGGGTGCATGCCCGTGTTATGTGCTCGAGCCCCAGTAGGGGGCATGCAGGAGGCAGCTGATCAATGATTCTCATCACTGATGTTTTTGTCTCTCCCTCTCCTTCCCTCTCTGAAATCAATAAATTGTTTCACTACTAACACAAAGGTTCATTTGGATGATTTCATGAACTTGTAGCACCGTTAACCTGGTATGTGGACCAAACATCTCTAAGGCACCATTTCTCCAAGTCTCTCTGGAGAACATTCACCCTGAGAGATGCTGTCCGCAGAGTGGGTTCGCTGGCTATACTTTGAAAAGTACTGCATACAATAGTCCTTGCAAAGAATCATAATTCACATTAGCATATGAAAAGCTCTGAAATCTTACAGGAAAGAAACCTGTTTACTTGTGTGCAACATAAGAGCTCCAATTTCAGGAGCACCAGGCTGCTCTTTGATAGCCTGGAAAAACCATGTGGGGGACCAGAAGAGAAGGATGTAGCCTTTATTTTTTTAAAATATATTTTTATTGATTTCAGAGAGGAAGGGAGGAGAGAGAGATAAAAACATCAATGATGAGAATTATTGATCAACTGCCTCCTGCACGCCCCCTACTGGGGATCGAGCCTGCAACCTAGGCATGTGCCCTGACTGGGAATCAAACCTTGATCTCCTGGTTCATAGGTCAACACTCAACCACTGAGCCATGCCGGCAGGCCAGGACATAGCCTTTATTACTTGCACATGGGGAAGACCCAATGGCTGCCTGTCGGGTAAGTGTCCCAACCCTGCCAGGGTCAGGCGGGGGCTTATTTAGCAGAGGGGAGGGGGTGCCATGCTTTGGAATAGCTTGAGTGCAGGCCAAGGACAAACAGGGTCTGCCGAGACTTGTTGGCTGTCAAGGACGTGGGAAGACACCTCGGTCTGTGCCGCTCTGTTTCTTGTGGCCACCAGCCAGGCAAACAATGTTGAACTGACTGGGGGCAGGGCGGGGAGAATTGGGCTATAGCCTTGCGTGACCCCACACTGGGTCTAACCTAGCATGCCCCAGACATATCTGAACACAGAAGACTTTCCCCCCTATGATAGCAATATCCTAGAAACACTTTGGGGAATGGTGCTTTAAAGAACAGTTGGTCTCAGATAATAATGGTATTTGCACATCAGGGATAGACTGTCTCAGTCCATCCACAGCAATGCAGGCTTTGTCTAGCATGCTGGAAGAGGCGAGGAAGGATCCTTGTATGGACTGAATATTTGTGCACCCCAAAGCTCACATTTGAAATTCTAACCCCCAGTGTAATGGTATTTGGCTGTGGGGCCTTTGGAAGGTGATTAGTTCATGGGGGTAGAGCCCTCATGAAGGGTTAATACCCTTATGAAAGAGGCCCCACAGAGCCCCCTCTCCCCTCCTAGCACATGAAGACACAGTGAGAAGGCAGCCATCTATGAATAAGGAAGCAGGCTCTCGCCGGATACTGAATCTGTGGTTCCTTGACCTTGGCCTTCCAGCTGCCAGAACTATGAAAAAGAAATGTCGTCTGTGGTATGTTGTCATAGCAGCTTGGACTAAGATTAGGTGCCTATCAGAATTTGTTTCTACTCTTGCTTAGAAAGTAATCTTTTTCTTTTTTGGTTGGGGGGAAGGGAGGAAAGCAAATGGCCTGTTTGATACTGGCCAGCCCCCATCCACTGTAAGAAGTCACTAATAGTCCTAGCCAGTTTGGCTCAGTGGATAGAGTGTCAGCCTGTGAACTGAAGGGTCCTAGGTTTGATTTTGATCAAGGGCATGTATCTCGGTTGTAGGCTCGGTCCCTGGCCCCAGTTGGGGCGTGAATGGGAAGCAACCAACTGATGTTTCTCTCTTTCTCTCTCTGTCTCTCCCACTCTAAAAATCAATGGTAAACATATCCTCAGGTGAGGATTAACCACACACAAACACAAAGAAGTCACTGACAACTGTCAACAGGTTTCCTTTGGCAGCCTTGTATTAACACCAGGACCTGCTGTAATCAGTTTTGATTATAAAAATATAAAGAGTAGCCGGAACCGGTTTGGCTCGGTGGATGGAGTGTCGGCCTGCAGACTGAGAGGTCCCAGGTTCGATTCCAGTCGGGGGCATGTGCCTGGGTTTCGGGCGCATCCCCAGTGGGGGGTGTGCAGGAGGCAGCTGATCGGTGTTTCTCTCTCATCGATGTTTCTAGCTCTCTATCTCTCTCCCTTCCTCTCTGTAGAAGATTGATAA